ACCATTTCAATTATTTTTTTCACTGGAGTATCATAATCCATATTCAAGACATGAGTAAGCTAGCGAAGCTACTGGATGGTAATTCGCTAAATTATATCAGTGTCGTGATAGAGGTCGTACAGCTCGCGGTTCATTTGGATGCGGCAGTCTTAGTCAAAATTTTTATTTATTTTTAATAAGATGAATTTTCATAGGCTGGCATGTTTCCGACACTGCTAAATATTTTGCATCAGTAGGCTTTGGAAGTATTTATTGGCTTAATTGTCCATATACAGGGTTAGGCGATTGAATTGTTACTGATTCAAGTGACCTTATCTCATGTGTGTGAAATTACTTTTTATTGATTCAAACTACAAAAATTTGTGAAAGTAATCAAAATTTCAGAATCTTTTCACTCTAACTCGATATGGCCACCTTTTGTCTTGACTATGGTATTGAAACGGTTAAAAAATGGGTTGCTTCATGAATGTGATCTTCCGTCATTTTGGCGCATTCATTCACTCTTTTTCATTATTCTTAAAGCAAACCTTTCATTTAAGCTCTCCTATTAAATCCTTGTTTTATGTTTTTTTATTTCTGATTTCTATTTTCTGATATGACATTTGATATATTCTCATTATTGCACTAATAAATTTACTTTTCATTTAAAGTAGATTGCGCTTTCAATGAAGGCTTTAAAATTATGCATAATATCCGCTTATTACCACAGAATCATAAACCAAAGACCAACATCTGCGCCCCTGTTTCGCAACACATAAGCGTACACTATATCTTCGCTTAATATAAGTCAACATGTTTATGGCTATTGTAGCGATGCGTAATCCAAAACTCATACTCATTTCGTAGTATTCTTAAATTGCTTCTGCTGAAAACTGACATGTTGAACCGTTTTGTACCGCGTGTGTGTACTAAATCAGTGCATCATAATTTTTGCAACTGAATACGGTAGGCTACGATATACAATACTAAAGCAAAGGAACAACGGAATCAAGAACGACAGCCCTTTTCATACGGACGAACTCAACTCACAGCGGGCGACGTTGATACTTTATACAGAGCTGCTTCCATGGTAATGACAGGATGTGTCGCATGTCGGCCGAAAATAGTCTTAAAAATATAGTTACATTATCGCGAATGCGTATGTATTTCTAAGCAGCGATTGTAACAAAATGAATTGTTATTGTTATCAACAACACAACAGCAGTGCAACATGAATTTTGTTGTAGGTGGAAATTATGTTGCAAGTATACACCAACAACAGTCGGCAACAGAATTGTTTATGGCAAATGAGTTGGTCTTAACAAAGGCACCTAACGTTAAGGGCAGGTGATAACCATTTTAGTTGGAGTTATTGTTACATATTTTTAAATGAAATGATTATGGCTAAGATAATGTTTAAGCATATGAATGGCTAATATTTAAATAATATACATTAAATTAAATAAAATTAAAAAAAAAGTATAGTACAGTGTTAAATATGACAATTATATTAAATTATTTGAAAACTAGTGTTCAAGTGTTCTAGAAAACCGCAGCGGATCCGCCAGTGACTTAACGGCATCACTATTATTAAATATTATTCTAAGTGGCTCAAAATTTGATTCTTTCTCTGCATATTTTAAAATGGGGTTTTTTCACTATACAGTCGGAGAGTTTTGGCCACTATTTTCTATCAAGTCAGGTCTAGGTTAGCTATGTATTGTTGTGTAGCTTGCAGTCTGAATAGGAGTAGTCTGACTTTTGGTTAGTCTATGAATAAGCAAGATTTGATTTTTATCACTGGTTTGGAGAGAATGGTATACACAAAAGCAGCTATGCAGAGACAATATATAAGGGATCCAGAATCCAATTTGCTTATAAGAACTTACAGTCTAAAAAGATTTGAGGATTTTTGTAATTAAAAAAACACCTTAATAATTTGACAAGGTAGTATAGGCTTAATCATCATCTCACATGAGGGAAAACTTAGGTTAGGTTAAAGGAAACCTAGGGTAACTTGATCAACTATATGTTATATTATATACTTAACTAATAGTTATGTTGTATGCGATTTCTTCAAAAAATTTTTAATTTATATAGTATTGTATATCATTACTGATATCTTAATTGATTTGACAGTTTGATAGTGAATTTATTGCGGTAATTATAATTAAAGTTTCTAGCTATTTGATTATCTCTGGTGGTTTCAATATATTCAGTGTTAAAATCAAATAAAATTCGTGTATGTAAAATGGCTTATGTCAAAATATTAAAAAATAAATTCATGAGAATAAGGACATATTATTAAATTATTAAAAATATATTAAATAAAAATGTATTAAATGTGGTTATTTACTTTTTTGTTATTTAAAGTTCACCACAGAGGTTTTATTACACTATATTGCTATAGGATATTAACAATTTCTTTTTTTTTTATTAAACTACATATATAAAAATTAATGAAATTTTTTATATATTTTTAGTATTTTTTCATATTAATATAAAATATAATACATTAAGCTGATTTATGTTTAAACCTACATATTGAAAAAGAAAAGAGTTCTTTGCTTTTTGTGAAATTGACAAAATGCCTTATTATATGAAAGTATTAATGTAAGTAAATTAAATAATTTATATATTTGTTCTGTTTCTATTTGAAAATCACTTAATTCTGATCGGGTCATAGCAGTTTAATATGACTTTTGAACTTTCACTTCATTATTTGCGATGGCAGAATAATTTGATAATGACAATGTAACGCAAATGCCAATCAAAGTTTATAGCGAAATATCCGCAAATTTTGCGGCATATTTGTAATTAAATAGTATAATTAACTTCTGCATTAACCATAAAATAAAAAGTTATATTATATTTAAACATCATGTAAATAATAAAAATCAAATTAAAATTTTAAGAGAGGATAAAAAATTATCGCAGTATGTCAAAGTTGAATGCGGTTTTCACGATAGTTATTAATTAATAACCTGAAGTAATTTATCCACCAAAAATGATTTAATATTATTTGATTGGCAATGAAAAAAACATACATATATATATATATATATATATATGCTCCATATGAGAAAAATTGTGCATGTATTTAATTCAGTTTAATACATTTCTAATTGATTGAAGGGGACTACCACCTCACTTACCAATTAAAAATATTAGAAGCAAATTAGCTTGGTATTGCTCATAACTAAGAAAGATGCTATGCACAACAAGAAATATTAACTAAAAAGGATTTTAAAATTTTATTGAAAAACCAAGTTTACTGATTCTACGTTCCAACTTAGTATGGAGCGGAACTAACTTTTGTGAAAAAACCTTTAATATGTACTTTCAGATTTACATTGACAGTTAAAACAGTTATCAAGATTAATAACATATAGTTGTTAAACCTCAGATTATACTTCAAATTATAAAAATTAAATCTCTTAAATAGTTTTAAATGCTAAACTAGATTAAAAAAATAAAAAGTGAGTGACAAAAATTTTGAAACTTAAGCATTGAAAGTTTATGCAGCCTTGGCTACTTGTGGAAAAACATGATTAGTCATCGCTTCTAATTTGACAGTCATAAGCTCTAAGCCTGGTACTTGCTGTTTAAACAAATTATATACGGACTATAAACTAATTAAAAATAATTGACAATACTCAAAACAGCGTTGTATAGTCAGTCAAGTTTCAATAAATTAACTAAATTTTTGTTGTTGTCTTTTCATTTCTATTCGAACGCTTTAAAATTCTTTTTCTTTATTAATTCCAACTTTTAAATTGTTGAATTTAAATTATAAAATATTAAATTTACCTTTTCTTTTTGGTATTTGCTTGAAACTACTCATTTATACGTAATGGCAATAATATATTGTTAATATGTTTGTTGCTTTGGTTACCGGAGATGGCCCGGATACTGAGTCCACTGAGGCTCTACTTATTAGAAACTAAACACAAAAAATTTTCAAGTAATTGTATATTTATTTTATACATATTATTTTATATATATTTATATATATATATATTTATATATATATATATGTATCTAAGTACTTGTACAATTCATTATACATTATACCAGGTATGCATAAGGTATACTAAAATAATCCTGCGGTTTACTAGGCTTAAACTTTCTGGTCTATACGAAAAACAAAATGATTATAGTGGTCCTTGGTCAAAAAAAGTTTGGGAACCACTGCTTTCATTAGTAAACATATGCACAAAGCCAGGCTCTGAGAAGACTTTTCAAAGTACTATGATACATTAGGACGAATGACATCCTCAGGGACCTCAAGATTGATTCCATCAAAAAATACATAAAGGAAATTATTTGCGAAAACTGACAGGCTTACCAACACCGCGTTATCAAATCTCAGAATGCTTAGTCTGATGAAGTGATAAACAATAATCCAGTCAAGGCGTAAAGAGGGGTTTTAAAACTACCTCGAGTTAAGAAAGAGTAAAAGTGCTCAAGTGCACTGGGTCAAATAGCTTCAATATAATATGTACTGATATATAAAAATTTGAACAATATAAATTTTTATTGGACGCGGAGTTCAGTATATGCATTAAATTTTTATTGTTCCAATATTGAATTATAACTCTAGAAAATTGTTTGATTTATATTAAATTATACATTGAAAATAATGTAAATTAAATACAAAAAAAAATCGAAAACAAAAAATTAAAAAAATAATTGGAAATGAATAAATTTTCATTGAATAGCTTTCTATAATATGTTTGAAACGATAAAAATATTATTTACCATGGAGGAGTATTATTAAGTATTGATTAATTAGATTTGATTAGGTGAGACTGATATATAAACGACTATAATTTTTCTATTTGTTTTCAAAAAAAGTTTTAATTTTGTTGTTGTGTATGGCTTGATTTATTTTATTAAAAACATTAATTAAAAATTATAAAAATTATTATATTTAACATAATTGGAATAAAAACTTTAATTGTAATATATATTAAAAATATATAAAATTTAAACTATGTACAAAAATATAAATTTTTGGTTTTCCGTATATACAAAGTATTATATAGTATATAAAAGTTTTCGTATAATTATCCAGATAAAATTAACCATATTTACCTTCTCCAGAGTGGTTCGCTTTCATAAACTAATACTTAAAAATAAATAATTATATAAATAAAAGAATTCGAAATAATGTTACGGATAGATAAAATTGTCCATTACAATGCAATCGCAAAGGATTTAAAAAACTTAAGATTTTGACACAATTTTTTTGTTTTAATGATTGATTTCTATACTTAAACTATTCTGTCTGTTAACATAAAAACCTTATAATATAAAGTAATTGTCATTTAAAAAACCTTGGAGAATATTAACCAAGTAATGTGCGCCAACAAAGCAAGTACAGCAAATTTCAAACATTGATGCAACCAATAGAGTCTAAGAGATACATATATATATATTATAAGGATTATTAAAAAATAGTTTCAAGCCACTTACCTATTCCATCGTACAAGTGCCTGCGGTATAGTATCGAGTGGATCTTGTAGCAAATACTGTCTAATGCCACGGAAGTATTGCTGCAAGAAAAGATCCCAGTCAAGTTGTGTCATATCGAAGAAGAATATTTCCTTATCTCGATCGCATAGGCTTTCCCACAGACTCCGCACATTCTCTATTTGAAAGTCCCACTGACGTAGTGAGAAATACTCAATGACACTCATAAATTTGTGAATTTTCTTGTACGTATTTAATAAACTGTAATGGAATGGTATAGATTACTTTTAAAATAATCATTTTATTGTAATTGTTACCGCGGTTTCTTTCCAAGGCACATACAAACGGCATCGAATATTGTGGCAGGCACATAATGCAGAAAGAATATCGATAGCATATGCATAATTTTGTTGGGTCTGTTAGCGTAGCAAAGATACCAAAGTGCTTTCAATGTGGGGTACATGAGTCCATATTTTGTGGTTTTCGTAGTAAAATCACCCCAAGTCAATTGATTCTCCTTCGAAGTACAGAAATTATATACCGGTATTTCGTTTGCTAGCTTTATGGTACTGTAGGAAGAAATAAAAGAACTTAAATAGTACATTCATCTAAAGTTACCGACTCACTTGTGTTTTCTCGATACATCCCAAGAGGCCGTAATTATGCTGTTCACGCATAAATCAACCGGTACCATATTAGCTACGGCTCTAGGATCACAACGCAGTGAACGTATCACACCCGTACCAGCACCGGCTATAGCACCGGTAGGTCCGTACAAGTTGTCAATCCAACCGCAAACAGGATCGCGATAAGTCGAAATAACTGCAATATTTAGGTTATTATTTTTATTATTACGGTTAGAAACAGTTTTGTAAATAATTGTGTATACCGATTCCAGGACGGAACATGCCTACAGGAAGATTTTTTCCATAGGTTTTGACAACGTCTTCAGCTACTGCTTTAGTGAAAGTATATGTGTTCGGCCATTTACCAAGCAAACTAATGATAAAATATATGTTAAATTATTACACAGGTATATATGCATATATATATCGAAATAAGTTCTTCACTTACACTGGTGTCATATCTTCCAATAATTTGTCTGGCGTGCATTCTGTTAACAATAATAAGTTTTCTGTGTCATTCGGTGGTGGATAAAACTTTTCATCAATTTTTCGTAATGGACATTGTGTATAAGCTGTGGAAATATGTAAGGCACTTTTCAGATTGGTCATTTCATTACAAAGCACCATCACGTCCTTGGCTGCTTTTACATTAATTTGCATGGCCACTTTTAATTTTTCATCAAAACGCACTGTTGCTGCCATGTGGAAGACAATATTGACACGTTCTATCAGTGTTTTTCGATCTTCTGCTGAAATACCCAAATTTGGGAGTAGGCAATCACCCGAAATGCCTTGTACGTGATGATAAAACTTCGGTGAAACTTTTTTCATGGCATTAAATATCTAAAATAAAAAAATTTATTATTGTTCATATATATATATTCTTTTATTAATAACAAACTTACCGGATCGTTGAAGATTTCCTCAACTCTTTCATGTACATTCTTGTTCTTTTTGTTTCTGATAAGTACGTAGACTGTCTCAATGCCAGGACAAGATGTAAATAGTTTATTGAGTAGTACTGTGAAAATTCAGTTTAATTATTATGTTATTTTGACTAAGATGGTATTAACTTACTTTTGCCAAGAAATCCGGTACCACCAGTAACGAATATATTTGTGCCATGGTAGAAATTTTGTATTGTCGTTAAGTTCTCCTCCATTAGAAGATCTTTTATGTACATTTTATTGCAATAATAATGCAAAGTAAAGTTTTTTTATTTGAATTGAGCTCTATAGAAATATAAGAAATATTGTAAAAACAATCAATTAATTGTATTTGACGCTTACTAATGCACTTAAGATTATATTTGTTACTATAGGGGTTATCCAGATTGTAGCTCGATAAGCGCTAAAGTGATAAAATTATAAATATCTGAATGCACCTCTTTCTTTCATTCTCAGAAAAGTTGTGAAATTAAAAACTATTTCCTAGTAAACCTTCATTTGTCTTCAATAATAGAAATCACTACATGATTCATCGATTTCCGGAAATATTTTCAAACCTGGTGTCAAAATTCGATAAACTTTTAATTTCATTAAACAAATTTAAATAAAATTTTATTACTTTATCATGTTTTTAAGCGTTTCTGAATATTCCCTTTACGTAACATTATAAAATATATTCACATAATCAGTTCAATAAAATATTTATTATTATTTGTAAAGTAGAAGCTTGTTTGAGTTTAAACAGATAGATAGATGAGCCAGGATCTACGAATAAACGAAAATATAGTTTATGCCCAATAAATGAATTTTTTTTCAGATCATATTCTGAGGATATTATAATCTAAGTTTCAAATATTCTTAAGAAAGTTAGATACTCTTGTTATGAAAGTTTTAATGAAAAATCTTGTTTCATTACTCTACAGATGTGTGTCATGAAATCATATTTTTTATATTAAAACTTATCAGTTTACGTTTGGGATTAAAGTAGATCATCACAAAGGTTATGGTGTGTAGGGTTAGGGTTTTTTATTTGTGGCCTATCTCTGGTAATTAGCCTTAACAGTGTCCGGGTATTTTTATTAGGTAATATGTCATGGGTATGGGTCCATAACCATGAAAATGGATGTGAAGCAATAACAGTGACGAAATTCCAGTTAGTAGATAACTAGAGATTTCGACACATGAATAATGTAATCTAATTTATTTTGTATTTCAAGTACTTTGTTTATAGTAAACTTTAAACATCATAATCTCTTCGGAGAGACTATGAATATTGTATCAGAGCATAGTAAGGTTCTAATGATTATAGTAAACTTTAAACATCATAGTCTCTTTCTAAAGAAACCTATTAAACTGCATATTTAATGGGTTGCTTGGATACTTTTTTGAAGTCTTTACATGTAATACATGTTTCAAATTTTGACAGAAAATCCACTACGCTGGAGAACAGGAGACTTAAAAAACTGGCTTGCTATAAAACTATGTATAATCTCCTATGGTTGTGAGCCTTTTCTTTGGTATGTCCAACTAATTTCTTTTAAAACTCTATTGACACCAAAATAGCAAAAAGTTTCCTTAACAATCAAATTTTCTATCCTTTGGATCGTAAGCATTACGTTGAGAAGTATTGATATAGATTATATATGGACAGTCAAGCTGCTTTAAGGTCCTTGATTTCAGTCCAATTTACATCTAAAACGGTTTTTAACTGCTACACGTCTCTGAACGAAATGTTTGACGCAGCTCAATATTTCTCTAATCTGGGTTTCCGGCCATAGGGATATTTTCGGAAATTGCAAAGTAGATTACACTCGGAACACCTAGACTATCTGGGCATATCGCTAACATCATGTAAATTGTTATTGAGTTCTTTTGTGTAGTAATATTTTTAATAAAAGATGGGAAGACGCAATGCAATCAAGACACTTTCCGATAAAAGGAAATCGAAAACTCTAATTGAGATGTCCCGCAGAGACATTAGTCGACTGACTACAGGACACAGTAAACTAGGGAACCATGCTAGAAGATTAGGTCTTCTTTTAAATCAAATCTGTCGTAGCTGTGAGGAAGACGATGAGAGCGTTTCTCGTCTTTTGTATTTTTGCCCTGCTCATGAATGGCGGCGACCTAATACTTTAGGAGCTCCCTTCCTTGAGGACTTGGACCAGCTACAGGACCTGACTTTAAATAGCATTTTATGTTTTGCAAAAGGTTCTAGGTGGTTTTAAACCCTGAGTTTTCACCCTGTATATACGGTAGCACAATGGGCCAATATGCCTAAGTGAATCCACTAGGGATCGCCGGTATAACGTAACCTAACCTATATATGGACTGTGTTCTAGTGTCGAAATCACAAATATTGAAAGATAAAAGCAATCAGTTAATTAAGATTAATTTTTAGTTATATATTTAAAAGTTAAAATTTAATTATGTATGTATACAAAATTACTTTAAATTAGTTTTTATTAAAAACTTTTTATAGTGCTTTATATTACTTTGAAATAAAGATAAATTTCTATTCAGTACTACTTTATTATATTTTTGCAATTAAAAATAAAAATTTCTTGATAAAACTATATAAAATAATTTCCAAAAATTTTGATGTAATACTGTAAAATTGTATAATTAAAATTAATTAACAGAAAAAAAAATAATTTTTGTTATGCAAATTTTTAACCTTCATCGTTAATCGATTTTAATTGTCAATATAAAAGAACCGATAAATATTTTTTAATGTGTATTTTATCTTAAAATTATCATTTCCTTGTAAAAATATTTTTTTTTGTGTGTAAAATATTTAAAGCATAAAATGTTCAAATAAAAATTTAACTCGCATCAATGAAATTTACAAAATGCAATATTTGTGTATCTCTGCTGACCTTCATATTTTCCCGCCATTTAAGCTCAACTTAAAAAAAATTCCGAAATTAATTTTTCGTACCTCTACGAATGTGAAATCGAGTTTGCATTTCATTGACGCAATCTTTTCACATTGTAAAGATATTTATGTACAAATGAGTAATATCTAAAATATTGTCAAGATTAAATAAGAAGATGCGTATCTTCATGACAATATGACAATAAAAGCCACACATCTCGTATTGTTTTGCATAAGACATCCTCGTAAACAACTCGGTCATTGCTCTAATATGTACTTGGCTGAAAACCTTTAGTGACTTACACGAATTCCTAAAAATTTCATTGAATCGAATCTGTATTGCAAAATTAAACTCATAAATATCTTAAAGAGTTACAATAACAAAGCGCAGTTAAAATTGTATCTTGAGCATTTAACGATAAGAGAAAGATACATAAAAAAATCTCAGTCTCAATAAATATTTACCACAAATTTAAACGTAAATTTGTTTACATATGTTATTGATATGTGCATACATACACAAATATATATATACATATATATATACATATATATAGCTATACATGGGTTATTGCATAATTTGAATATGAGAGTTGATATAAATATTTCACGCTTATACGAAATTACGGTTTTTATAATTTTTCAATCATTTTATTGCTACTCAATATCTATGAGAATCTCTTATGAGACCCTCTCAGCACTTTCACTTTAATTTCCTTAAGAGAAAATTTGATCTGTAAAATTATAAACTGGTAAACTGGCGGTATAGTCGAAGAGATTGGTTCAGTTCAGCATAGAAATAAATACTTATTATAAATTTTTAAATAATATAATATAATAATATATATATTATATTTATTCAGTTATTCTCTAAAAAAATATTTAATTGTTCTTATTAATTCAGATTAGTTCTGAAGTTCATAACTGAAGTAAATACAACCGACAAGATTGACAGTTTATATTTAACTAAATTTTGTTTACATTTCATTATTTAAGATTGCTTAAACTAATGCAAAACATACTAGATTATAACACTTTCTCTGCCCTTAATTTTTGACAAGGCTTAAGTTTTCCTGAAATCGTCGGATTCAAATCGAATTACATCCTTCCGAATACGACCACTTTTTCGAAGTTGAACTACTTCGGTAGAACGTTCTTCACTAGGCATTAATGTTGATTGGCTAGATGAAGGCGGTGTGGCATTGATGAAATTTGGAGCGAATTCAAAAATTGGTTGTGAAGAGAGGTCAGAGCTACTTCTATTTTTAAGCTGATTAACGTGACGTTTGATGTAACCAAAAGATGTGTTCACTCGGTAAACCATTCTACCAAGTTGTTTCACAATAACTCCTTTTATCCATTTTTCCCCTCTTGCGTAGTTTCGAGCGAAGACGGGTTGCTTTAGACTAAATTTCATTTTCCGTTTCGAAGCTTCAAGGTGCTTTCTAGGCGATTCAAACAGTTGACTCAACAAGGTACGAACAGGCCTTCCATGTAAAAGTTCTGCAGGTGATTTACCCTCAGCATTCGGCATTGCACGATATGTTGCAAGATATTTTGATACAGCGAATTTGAGAGACAATCCATCGTCAATGTTTTTCTGAACAGCAGTTTTAAAAGATCTGACGAATCGTTCGGCTAACCCGTTTGAGGCTGGATGAAACGGCGCTGTTGTTATATGTTTGATGCCAAGTTTTGAGCAAAAATGTGTGAATGCTTCAGCTGTAAATTGCGGACCATTGTCACTTACGATGGTTTCTGGTATACCTTCCAGAGAAAATATAGAAGACAATGCTGATACGGTGTCAACCGTTGTTGTTGTAGATAGTTGTATAACGAACGGAAATTGCGAGAAAGCGTCGACACAAATTAGCCACATTGAATTACAAAATGGACCAGCAAAGTCGATATGTACTCTCTCCCAAGGTCGATCAGCTTCAGGCCAGCTTAAGTATTCACGTGCGTGAACAGGATTTGCAATTTTGCACACATCACAATTTTCAGTTAATTCTGCGATGTCTTTGTCAATATTAGTCCACCAGACATGTTGTCGAGCTAGCTGTTTCATTCTCGATACTCCCCAATGACCATCATGAAGAAGTTTAAGAATTTTCTGCTTAAGGGAGGCTGGAATGACAACCCGGTTGTACTCCGTCTGGAGGCAAAGCAAATTGTTGTTTAGTATTAAAGCAAAGCGATGATTGAAAAATGATCGAAGATCAGCATCTTGAGGCATTAGCTTTTCAGGCCAACCGTTTGTAACGAGAAAATAAACTCGGCGAAGAATTGGGTCATTTTTGGCATGCTGACGAATTATTTCAGCGTCGATAGGTGTGTTAAGTTCATTGATGTTGAAACAGGATTCTTCATGATCAAAAGTTTTATCTTCACCAACAGGTAAACGAGA